TGTTCAAAGATCAAAAACGGCTAGGTGGTCTACTACAAATACTGTTGTTGTTGGTGTTGGTGTTGCTTTTGACACGCTTCAATTATTCTTGAGTTCACATGCACTAATATCCCCAATCAATACACGTTAATTGCTTAAGCAAATTCCCACCTAAATTTTCCGCTTGCCAGGTGGATAAATAGTCCCCAAATAAGAGGTTCAATTTCTAAGTACTCCAATGTCGATATATTTTCAACTTACTCTACGAGTATATGAGTAGAGAGTTTTTGGGAAGATAGTTATATAATGCGCTAAATGAATATAAAACCAGTAAGTTGGGCACCAATAAGGATATATCGGAATTCCTCTGGGGTATCATAACTACAAAACCTCTTAAAAGGCATAAATATAACTAGTATGGAAATTATATTGAAGTGATAATTAAAATACACAATTTAAATTGATGAAAAATAAAATATTGAAAAGATTTGCGACACCAGCAATCAAGGTCTCGGAAGCTTTTGGAATTTTTCAATTTAGTATGAATTGTTAAACAATTCACCACTAATAACAAATATCTCACAATATCGAACACTTAATACAACTTTTTTTTATTTCTAAATTACACATAAGCTAAAACTTTTTAAACCTCAATAAAGATCATTTTTTCAAGTGTCAATAACAATTTCTCTAAACGACAGGTAACTTATAATACCAACCTCGTCTGGTTTTTCTTGCTCGTTATCACACCGACACTTTTCAATTACTCATAGCGGACTATGACAGTTTCTTGTCGAAAGTCTGGCAGTGATGACGCGTTTACTCATCGCACTACTAATTACGTTACCAACTCTATTCGGCATTAGCCAAGCCACTTCCAATTTGACGGAATTCCTCCAGCATCGCCAAAAGCGTTGGCTCATCTTTGAGAACAGGGGCTCGATCAAATTCGCCGTGGGTCCGACGATGCCCATACCTCTGGGCGATAAGGTCAGCTGGCGTTCTCTCGTCCTCTCCTATAACCTGCACGGCTTCCAGCACAACTTGCCCACGGAACCAACCTGGCCATGGGATAAATGGGAGACCCTCTTTGCGCGCTCGATGCAGGCAATGCGTCGGAATATAGAGCGGCGTACCGCGAGCGGGGCTGTGCGCTACCCGGACGATGCTCGAGAACTTGTTTACACGGCTTTCGAAGAATACACGACCAGAAGGGCCGGAGGAAAGGATCCCAACTTGGGGCGTCAGTGTCTGTTGCGCTCTATTTGCGAAAATGCACAAATACATCAGCATGTGGGAGTATTCTCAGAATTACTAAACATTGTGTTGAGGTGAGTTACGGATCGATTCCAATGTTTGTACAAAGTCTAGAAGAAGTGAGTTTTGATGAACATTTGGAAAACAAACATAAAATAAAAACTTCAAGCTCTTGCATTTCAATTAGGTTTTGAAGGATCTCAACTCCCACTTTCAGACTTGGTATAAACGTGATATTTTAAATTCCTTTGTTTCCCACAATCCTCACATTTCCTTTGCTTGCAGTCCTGGTAAAGCCGATTTGGATGCCAGCTATCATGATGCCTATGAGGCTGGGAAGTCGGGCGCTAATTGCTTGCGTCTGTTCAAGGCATGTCCACGTGGCGCAAACATTTTGGATGAATATTTGATTGTTGAGGCTGATTGATTGACGTTTCGATTGATCAGCTAAGCATTAACAGTAACACAAACATAAACATAAACAAGAACAACAATAAAATTGGACAAAGTGCATGCATAATTGATCCTGATTGCATAATTTGTGTGGCAGAGCGAAGCGAGTAAATGTAGTTGCATTCCGAAACACACAAACACAAGCACACTGTTAACCACACATAGATACACTTGTATGTATGTGCATGTTTACGGATGGATACCTGTGCATGCTCGTACACCGTTAGTTGAACCACAGCGCAACGCTGACTGCACTTAGCCAGACACACAATCCGGCCTTCAGTTCCACCTCCTACCCATTTCATTTGTTCAACTCCTTTCTCCCTGCCCGTCTCATTCAGATGATACAATGTTTATGTCTCCAGCTTCCTTTCAAAGCTTGCCAGGGTCTGGCATTTTCCCGCTTTAAGACATCTTCAGCGTACTGTGGCACCTTGATATCTTTTAAGAAGTTAAGACTGTGATATTGCTTTCTAGAACCGCCAGATTGTCCTGTATGAATGATTTTAAGCCTAAGTCGAATTGAATTATTTTCTTGCGCTACACAATTTTCCTCTTCAGTGAAATTTTGAACCGCATTACTTGCATTTTCAAACTCCTCTTTATCGCTACAGCTATGGAATGGTTTCAAAATACGTTTCTGTACGGCAAAATTATTATTTTGTTCAGAAACTCTCCTTTTGCAAATTAAACAGAATCGTTTTTCTCGATTTTATAAACAGCATTCCTTTACTGGTCTCGGCCCGCAACAGCTCCCCCGATTTTGCCTGAATTATTAAACTTTTGACCATGTCGTTGGTTGTGCGACGCCGTTTTGTTGAGGCATGTATGGGACAGCCAATTGGCTTTTAATAACAAATTTGCTTCAAATCATAATCTGTTTCATTATCGCGTTTCTCTTACCAGTTGAATTTTTAAATAACTTAAATTTAACAAACAAATATTTTTGAGTAATCATCAATGAGAGACGTAATGTTCATTAGACCACACGCATTAAGGTGTATTAATTCATAAAAGACAATACACATACATATATTTGCCAGTTTATGTACACCGCAATTCTTTCTGTTCGATAAATTAACAGTTTTAATAATTAAAACAATTGTGCCTCGTTATTGTACGAGTAGAGTCGTTCAGAAAATTAATCGCACCTTTTATGTGCTGCTTGTAAATAAATAAATACAAATCATCTTCTGGCACTACTTTGCCTTGCTTGTTTTTGTTTTACTACTCGATGGAACGCCCAATTACATGTCCGTCATTCAACGTTTAAGACACTTTAGCATAACTGTTTCGATTCCGCATGATTCTACAAATTAATGGGCTGCCAATCGATCAACAAGCATCTTTAAAAGCTCATTGATACAGCACTACGCGACGCTGCCAACCTGTCAATACACAGTGGAATTTTTCGTTGAGTGGCATCCACGAGACAGTTTGTTAGTCTTTCTAATGTTGTTCTTTATTTCCACATTCAAACGCACGACGCCGAAGTATTTCCCCTCAAAAAAATCGTTGTTAATACATACTTTTCAACTTTTTATTCCATTGTTTTAGAGCTCTTTCTTCTATTATCTTTACGTTTCTGACGGCGGCAGCATATTTCGCGTTTCCATCGCTTCTACAAAATGTTCTCACGAATTCGGTAAACTTGATACCAATATGACAGTTTTCAGATCATAATTTATAATAAATAATCCACCGATTCGGTACAGGAATTCATATATTGGACTACATTGTCCTCTTCTCGCGTATTTAAACGTTATTCTCTTTTATATACTTTAGCAGATATGTATGTAGGTGTACCTTCTTGATAGAACCAACTTCCACATATTTATCACTTAACGCTTTTGATGCCCCCGCGGCTGTTGTGGACAAGAACTGTGATAGTTTTACGTTTAATGTTTGATCAACAATTTCTCATTTTTCTGATTCTACGGAATCACTTTCTGCTTTTGCAATATGCAAAAAAAAAGCCAGACGTTCCACAAATCTAATATTTTTAACATGCTACGCATTGAAATACTCCACGTACCATTTAATTTTTCGATTTAAACTGATCCACTCATTTTATTTGCCTTATAATTTTTATTTAATCTCACGAATTATTTAAACGAGTTTTCATCTTGACGCTTTTAAGCCCATTGCAAATTTTTGAAACCGAGTTGTTGTACCCTGGACCCAGAACCAATTGTTGGTAGAGTTTTTGCGATTTGCACCTAACGAATTAAGAAGTGGTGTGTGAATTAAAATGTTAGTGCTGACAGATGAATAAATATTTAGATTATTCAAAAGTGCGTGTACAATTAATTTTGAAAGAGCGTCTCTGCCCAATCCCTCCATTCAAAAAAATGTAAAAATAATGAAATCAAAGCTAACACTTAAGACGCTTTTATTGTCCTTCAAATACTTTTGCGGCTACTCAGATAGTCATTTAGAAAATGAAGGTGTATGTGTTGTGGCTCTCTTATTGTTATTGCTGCTGTTGCTTTTGTCGTGCTTCAATTTTTTTGGGAGTTCACGTGCACAAATAGAAACCAATTCTAAAATGGGTATTGTCGTCTCATCAATTATTTTCCCAGTTAGTAGACGTTAATTGATTAAGCAAATTCATGCCTAAAATATCCGCTTGTCATGTTGATAAATAGCGCCTAAATATGAGGTTCAATTTGTAAGTACTTCAAACCACGCATAAATATTTACGACACATATGTATAAAGGAAATAATATGAAATTATGAATAAACCTCTACCTGGAGATAATACCTGAAGCCCAATTATTATACCTATTGAGGAATTGGAGTAACATTGGAATGCAATTCATATTAATGAGCAAAATATATACAGAGAACAAATCGTTACATAAGAAAAAAACCACACAATTTAAAAAATTAAAGTGAAACAAAATTTAAAGGCATCGAAATGGTATTACAATCAAATTAATCTAATATTTGTACACAAAAATATAAAAAAAAAAAACTATAGATAAATAACTCCAAAACAAAAACTCGAAAAATTCCAAAATATTTTAATAGAATATTTTTATGCTCGGAAATTCCCAAAACATATTCTTAACTGTCTATGAGCCGAGAGACTTTTTAAAAACATTCTTTAGAAAATTTCTCAATCCAAAAAGAAAAATATTTACTATAGAAAAAATACGGAATAAATTTAGATTCAATTCATATATATCTCAAGTGTCAATACCATATTCTGTGAACTTTAGTTAACTTATCACACCGCCCTCGTTCAATTATTCTTGTACGTCATTACACCTACGTTTTCGATCGCTCACGGTGGACATATATATGACAGTCAATTCTCGAATGTCAGTCAGTAATGGCGCGTTTACTCATCGCTCTACTCATTACGTTACCAACTCTATTCGGCATTGGGAAAACCACTTCCAACTTGACGGAGTTCCTCCAGCATCGCCAGAAGCGTTGGCTCATCTTTGAGAATAGGGGTTCTATCAAATTCGCCGTAGGACCTTCGATGCCCATACCTCTGGGCGATAAGGTCAGCTGGCGTTCTCTCGTCCTCTCCTATAACCTGCACGGCTTCCAGCACAACTTGCCCACGGAACCAACCTGGCCATGGGATAAATGGGAGACCCTCTTTGCGCGCTCGATGCAGGCAATGCGTCGGAATATAGAGCGGCGTACCGCGAGCGGGGCTGTGCGCTATCCGGACGATGCTCGAGAACTTGTCTACACGGCTTTCGAAGAATACACGACCAGAAGGGCCGGAGGAAATGATCCCAACTTGGGGCGTCAGTGTCTGTTGCGCTCTATTTGCGAAAATGCACAAATACATCAGCATGTGGGTGTATTCTCAGAATTACTAAACATTGTGTTGAGGTGAGTTACGGATCGATTCCAATGTTTGTACAAAGTCTAGAAGAAGTGAGTTTTGATGAATTTATGGATAGTAGGTTTAATGTTGGGGTGAGAGCAGATAGAACATTCTTCAATCTTTTTTAAAACCTTAAATTAAACACTATCGAATCTTCCACCGATTTATTTATAAAATTTATTCTATTATTTGAAGCCTAAGCGATCTGTTCTCTGTACACTTCAACAATTTTATTTTAATAATTGTGTGAATGGGACATTTCTTTTTTTTATTAAATGACTTCTTACAGATTAGTAATTAAATTATTTGTTTAACCGATCGACTAAAGTACTTAAGAGCCACTAAAAATGTACAATTATTAAGTACGTAGATTGGTGCTCTTCTTAGAATATCTAGTCCATTTTATAAAAGTGCCATAACAATATTTCATTGCATTTGCATTATTTACATGATTGAGTAAAAATTGATGGCTAAGTTTATCTCCTATTAAGAACTCTTTAGGTCATGCCTTTCAACTTATTTTGAAACGGATATTAACTCACAATTTCAGACTTCGTATAAGCGTGGTATTTAAAACTCTCCAGTTCCCCACATTCCTCACATTTCCTTTGCTTGCAGTCCTGGTAAAGCCGATTTGGATGCCAGCTATCATGATGCCTATGAGGCTGGGAAGTCGGGCGCTAATTGCTTGCGTCTGTTCAAGGCATGTCCACGTGGCGCAAACATTTTGGATGAATATTTGATTGTTGAGGCTGATTGATTGACGTTTCGATTGATCAGCTAAGCATTAACAGTAACACAAACATAAACAAGAACAACAATAAAGTTGAACAAAGAGCATGCATAATAGTTCCTGATTGCATAATTTGTGTGGCAGAGCGAAGCGAGCAAATGTAGTTGCATATGGAAACAGTTGCACAAGCACACATCTACTCGTAGATATGTATGTATGTACATATTTACGGATACCTGTACAGGTTCATGCACCGTTAAGTTGAACCACAGCTCCGCATTTGTCTCCATTTAAGACCTCAGTTGACGTTGACGTTGTTTGTTCGCGTTGTCATAATCGCATTTGAATTAGCTGTGTTCACAAGGTGACACTGTTAGAGAGGCGAGGGTAACACAGGGTGCTGCCGACTCGAAAAATGTGTAAGAATAACAGCTTTCCTGAGAACTCTTACTGCTTATTCCATTTATAATTATTTTTTAACATTATCTTTACTTGTTAATTATTTTAGTTTTTAAAGTTATCCATTTAATCGAATTTTTGTCCGAGCGGAAACTCCTCTAGTTGCATTGGCATTCGTGTGAATGGTTTTAACAAAAAAGTTCTTGGTGTATTTTGAAGATTTTCGAACTTTCTAGAGCTTATGGTTTAATATCCAAACCCGAAAAATGTGGAATATTTCTTAGCAAAAAAGATGGTTGCTAATTCTACCTTCCATACTTATTTTATTTGACTCAGTTCCACCTTTGAAATGTAAACCAAAGTATGACTAATCTAAACATATACAGCTGAGCTTATAAATCAAACTTACTGAGTTATCTGAAAAAATTGAATTTCGCTTAAATTGTTCAGTTTGTTTCGTCAATAGTGAAAAGTTGTTTTTGATCGAACGATTAGCGACTAAGTGAAAAAACCAATATTCAAACACTTTCAATTTATTTTTAATTTGTAATGAAACAAGAGAGAACGCTACAGTCGAGCAAGCCCGACAGTGTAATACCCTGTACCCAGGTAAACTTCCGTCACTGAGTTATATGCGCCCATAGCAGCAGCAAAAAGAGGAAGAAGAAGAGCGAACTTGTTGCTGCAGTTTGTGGGGGTTGTACTGGCGAGGATTTGTTTTGCTAATAACTTTTCTTAGAATTGACCGAATTGAATAAAATTTAATACAACAGTAGACAATTATATATTAATTATGTGTGCAAAGTTTGGTTTAGGTAGCATTTGAAATGTGGACGCTATTGACGAAATTCTGTAGCGGGGGAAGGGGGGGAAAATTAAAAAAAAAAACATAAACTCGTCCTTACTCGGACCTAGGAGAATCTAGGAATGGAAGAAAAGGAGAAGAAAAGAGTGGAGATTTTCCTCTTTTGCTTTTTCTTTTCGTCTCTCTTTCCACCTTTCTCTTTTTCTGTTTCTCTGTCTCTCTTTCCTTCTTTCTTTTTCTCTTTCTCGTTCTACTTCGTTCCTTTTCTAATTAGTTGTTAAATAGAAATAAGTTTTCACCTTTATCTACTTTTGTATAGTTTTTTAGGTCTTTAATGTCTCTGACCACATATGGCTGTGAGTCGGGGCATAGCTGGCCAATTGGCAAATAAAATTCCCTTAACGTGTCGGAGGCATTAATAGACGTCATTGTACAGCTTTGTGTTAGGCTTTCTTATCTTTTATTTTGTTTAGTTTAATTTGTTATATTAAGTTTTATAATATAATCGACAGTAGTATTGTTGATATTATGAATAAAAATAAAATAAATCCAAATCAGACACATTTTTAGGAGTTTAAGAATGAATTTCACAAAATATTAACTTCAAATACTATTAATTCGTGATTGCAGTAAATAAAGCATGCCTCCTGTAATTAAGCACCCTATCATTAGCTTGCTAGCATGACAGGATTTTCATGTTCGCACCACCACCAGCACCACCACCACTACCACCACAACCACCTTGTCAACCTAATGTGTCACTTAAGACGCATTTATTGTCTTTGTCTTGTTTTTGCAGCCACTCAGGCAGACAGACAGTCAGACAAGACCGGCGCTTGTCGCTCTCGTTGCAGTTGTTGAAGTTGTTGGTGTTGTTGCCTTTGGTACTGCACTTCCATTTAATTGACGCCATTGTTGACAAAATGGCGCTCGAATTCGCGCGTGTGTGTGCCTGTAGCTGTGGCTGCGAGTACGCGACAGCAAAAACCACAAGCCATTAATGTTGTGCTTTATCCTCATACAGTGTGTAAAGGGGGTGTAGATATCGTACGAGTATGTTTCAACATTTAAGCGCCGTCAAGTTGCAAAGTTGGCGAAATCGCGCGTTAAAATAAGCAGCAGCAGCAACACCAGCAGATGTCAAATGAGTGGCTGGAGCAGTGGCGTGGCATTGCATACAAATCACTTAACATTAGGTGCCATTAAAAGTTTTACAAGCTCGCACAACTGCCATGAAACTAAAGAACTTACAGTGCGGCTGCCACGGAAATAAAACTCTACAAATGCATAGAAATTTAATTCAAGACACACATTGATTTCTATATGATTCATATATAAAAATCATTGTACAATTTATATCGAGCTAACAGAAAATAGAAAAAAATGGAAATCCTTAGCATAGAATAAGGATAAAAGCAACAGAAATTTTGTAAAATTGTCCTGAAATTTTTACATGTTTGCATATATCAATGAATATATCATTAATATAAAATCAATATTTCCTTAACTAAAACCATAACGAACTTTAAAAAAGTCGGAAGTTCTGAATCCAATTTATTAAAAAAAAGCATAAATAACAATACTTTTAAAGGAGCAACAACAAATGAACATTTGAATCAAATATTCAATTCTATTAATTGGACAAATTCGGAGCTCGTATAGAATTTAAATAAGAAGAGTAAGTAAGAGATTTTTTTATCACCACTTGATTAAACAGATTCTTTTGTGAGTTTGTAAGCCGAAAAGCATCTTGAAGGGAGCGAACTGCGATTTGGTGTGTATCTTAGGGGAAAATTCCTTCAACTTCTTGTGCCTCTGCAATAAACATCGTTTTCGAAATTATGTTCTCACTTCACTTGCTCTTTCTGGTTAAGGATTTGCAACTCATTTTGTCAGGCTTTATTTTTAAGTGGCAAATATTTCATATTAATATGATAAATATTGAGGATCCATCCATTAACTATTTAACAAATTTACTCAGATGCATCAATTAAATCATTAACATATTAGTTGACTTATACAAATTTGAAACACGCTTAATTTTATTTCCATCTTTAACTTTAAACTCATGTTTAAAGATAATGTGCAGTATATTTTTTATACTTGTTAATAAGTAAACAAGCATTGAATTCCTCTCTTTAAACAGCCTTTCATAAACACCGTAGCTCTGGCATTCTTAGTTTAAACTATATCCTCACGTATAGTATACCAAGAATGTGACGTAATTTAAGTATAAAAATGTAATTTAAATATTTTGCATACCTTAAAAATGTTTAGCATTAATTTTCAAAAATATGTATTCCTATGACAACTCAGCCAGCTAAGCTGTCATACTTAGATAAATTTTATGTCAATAATCCACTGAGAAGTGATCGAAAACGCTTTGACCGCGCGGGCACTCGGAATATTGTTCAAGACAATCGACGCCCGCCAAACCAGCGGCATAGGCCTCCTTATACTCCTCATCAATGCGGGTCTTGCCAGGTCTGTAAAGGCACAAATATATACGATTATTTATGTGCCCTACACACGCAAAACTGATTAAACTTACGTCAGCAAAATATTTAATAACTCAGCCATAAGACCCACATGGTGATGAATTTGTGCATTCTCACAAATCGAGCGCAGCATACACCGTCTTCCCACAGAAGGGCCTTTGCCCTTTTGCCGAACCACCGCCAAACCTCCCGACTGGTTATGGTCCATATAGTGCTCCAAAGCTATGTAGGCATATAGACGCGTTTCATCTTCTTGCATCACATCCAATTCTTGTATTCTCCGTTGAAGCGAGCGCGCGAATATCTCCTCCCACTTATCCCATGGATGGATCGGCTCCGAGGGCAGCGTGTAAATACCCAGATGGATGTTATATAAGATCAGGATACCACGCCAGGGTTTCTTATCGCCCAGGGCCACTGGAAAGACGGGGCCCACAACTAAACGAATGGAGCCGCCATTTCCGAAAGTCAAATGACGTTTGTGGCGGGCATGTAAGAGCGCCGTCAGATTCTGAACGGGTCCAATCATATCGTAGCCGGCGTCCATATACGGCAAAAAGCAACAAAGTAACAGACAGCGCGTTAAAAAATGCATTCCCAGTGCAGATCTGATACTCGTATGTCCAACCCAAAAAGCGGTTTAAGCGCGAATGCGCAGTGACACTAACAAGCAGCGCGTGCTCTCCTCAGTGATCCAAGAAAATATTTATCCATCTAATTAGCACTTAAATTGGGCTATCTCCGAAATTAAGTTGCAATCCCAATACAATCCTAAGTGGCACTCAACCAGTTTATTTATTCAATTAATCATACACAGAATAAGTCTATAAGTAGCTAGTTAACATACCGTCAGTTTCCATGCAAGTTTGTTTTTAATTTGGTGTTTTAACAACGCGCCCGAATGGCTATAGACATGCCAACTCGATAATACATTGCGCCTGCGCACTACTTCTTCTTTTCGATTACAGTTTAGAAACGTGATAAGGCTATCGGCAGTGTTGAACAGTTCCACTGTCCGTTCGTTATGCTACTTAAATACTGACGTAAATTTTAACGGTGGCCTGTTTGTTTTTGTGTTATTCATCACAACTAAAAAAACAGTGAAAATTAGGATTAATTCCAAATAACAATAATGTAATAAATCAATAAATAACTTTTAATGTGAAAGGAATTTGAAGCTTAAGCACAAAACTCTTTAAAAACTTGCTTAACATATACTTATAAACGAGCTAAAGACGTTACATTCATCCGCGACGAATCTTTATACACTCTACTGTGTCATGAGGCGCGAGCTATCCTAGCTACCCTACTGTTTCAAGCAAGGGTTTTAAAAAACAGAACTTAGGCAGAATTGAACTCAGTCTGTTAAACATTGTCGCTTCAAATGTGTTGGCCTTAAAAATTGAAACAATTAGTTTCAAAAAATATACATAAGCCAATAAATTGGCAATTGAAGTAATAATTAAATATTACAAGAGCAGACAGTACAATAAAAAAGTTTTAAGTTAAAGACACAACTAAAGACAAAATCCACTAAAATTGATTAAATGAAGTTGCTTCAATTCAGCAGAATAATATTTTATTAAATTAATTAATGAATTAAATAATTTTTGAGTAAATTGGAAATGAATTAGGAAAAAACCTTACACACTTCATGGAGCAATATTTCAAAATTAATATTAATTTTAAAAACTATCATATATAAAAAATAATGGTGCTATAAAAAAGTGTATGTATATATAAAATATAATACCAAAGCAATAATCTGCTGTTATTAATATAGAATTCTAATGTAATACGGAAAAACGTATTCAAATAATTTGATCGGATATGTTTTCTTTATTATTGAAGCAGGCTCCAAAAGCAAAAAGCTCATCTCCATTTCTATTAATGATATTAAGTAGAGGAAACTATTTCCAGCACGAGTGATAAACTTTTGTTGTTGAATTTTCAGTTCTTTCGTCGTTTATTTCGTAAAAAAAAAAATAATAATAAAAATAAAATATCTTCAGCAAAATTCGTGTGGGCTTTGTGTTTCATTCTTTGCGTTTGTTTTCACCAAAATATCATGCGTCCTGCATTGGGGGCCGTTGCCTTGGCCAGGATTATGCCCGATAGTTCGTCATCTTCCAAATCGTTGCTGTAATTTTTTACCGAGCGGGTGGAGAGTGTAAAACAAATAACAGTTATTCTTCATGCTTAGAATACACAAAACTTTACACACATATAGTATACATATACAGAAATACATAGGTATATACAAGTACTTTTATAGGTACAATTATTCGTTTGTAGTGGTTTTTAATTTTTTGTTGTTGTATTTTTTGTAAATAAATAACAATGAATGTTTTGTTGGCGGCGCTTATGTTGGAACAGCTGCAGAGACTGTCTGCTTTAGAGATGATGGCTGCGGGTGTTGGCACCTTGGCTGTGATGAGTTGAGTTGAAGAGTTGAGTGTAGGAGAGTGTTGGGGTGTGTGTGATGAGTTATCGAATTCGAATTCGGGGTGGCAGGCACAACAAGGACACAACAAGCACAACAAGTGCAACAAATTGCAAGAGCCAATGCGCATTTATGGTCTACAAATAAAAATTTAGAGAGAAAAAAAAAGAGAGAGAGAGAGAGAGAGAGAGAAGAAAAATATGCAACAGAATAAACAATATGTTAGGAAATTATACAGGTTTGAAACATTTTTTCTTTCTTTGTAGAACATAAACAGAAACATAAACATAAAAATTAGACAAGACAAAAAACATAAAATGAACATGCAGATGACTTTCAATGAACATATATATGTATATATTGATATAGACATGTAGTGTAAAGCACAGGACTGATTATTGGAATATTGGTATTGGCAATAAATACACAATGTTCTTTTTTCTCAAAATTAATTTGTAAATTTTATTTTTGTTTTTAAATTTTAGGCACTAATTTCGATTTATATGCTATTTTTAAATATTTAAATTAAATATGTAAATTTTAATATTGCAAAACATCGTTTAAAAATATGCCTTAGCTGGGCGCTAATTTAAATTAAAAAACATTGTACAGCATTGTTGTTGTTTTGTGCAAAGTTGTTGTTGTTGCATTTAATTATTTGTTAAATATCACTTAAATATTTTTGTTACAAGCCACTTTTTTGATTGCAACTTAAAAAAAAGGTATCGGTTTGCCGGCGGACGGTTACAAGAAATTTGCATACGAAAAATGTACAATTTTAAATTTAAGACATTTAATTTAAGATTAATTATAAATAATCGTATCGAATAGGCTGGGTATAGTATGTTAATTTGTGTGTGTTTGTATTTTGTTTCTTTGTCGTTTAAAGTACGAGCTCTAAATTATTATTTAATTAGGGTCTTTACGGACATCTGCTTAAGTGCTTAACTGCTTAAATATTAAACTTTAATAAGCCATTAGATCGGGCGAGAATTAGAGACCGGCCATGCATTCCGAGGCTGGTTATTATATCTCATCTTTAAGCAGTTAAGCCATTAATCAGCCATTCGTGAAAGCTCTAAGTGTGTGTGTGTGTGTACGCAGTCGTTAATATTAATTTTTATAAATTAATTAATTGCAAACTAAATTCGTTTTTGAATTTTCATTTCATTTCATTCCAACTAATCACAAGGCAAATAGATTTTGTTTCGGGTATGGCGTCTGAGTTTTTGTTTGTATTTGTGTTTAGACAACGAATGGCAACGCGGGCTTGTTTTAGTGGAGGTAAAAGCATAACGAGTGGAAACAACGAGTTACGAGAGATTTATAAATATAGATAGCGAGCTAGCGAGCGAGACCCAACACCAGAGAGTGAGAGAAAGAGAGACACAGAGACAGTGAGAGAGGGGTGGGTTTCCAGGACAGTTTATTTCATGTAAGTGGATGTACAGAGCGGGTTATGAGATTCATTAAGAATTGGCACAGGGAAGATGTAAGGAGTAGCGAGTAACGAATAACAGCAGGCACTTAGTCAGGTGTATGCGTGTGTGTTTGTGTGTAAAAAAAAAGAGAGAGAGAGAGAGGCAATTTCGGGCAAATGCAAAATTAATACTTAATAATGAGAGTTGAGAGTATAACGAGTGAGAGTAGCGACTAGTATAACGAATGGCGAGTGTGGTTCGTGCTTACTTTTTCATCAGAGAGCGCACTTTCTTCATCGTTCGATTCAAAATCGTGCCTCTACTCGTACTGTTGTTCGATCCCAGCGATGAGTTGGACGTCTTGTTACTATTCAGGCTGCCCCCACGATGCACATGCGCCGCCGCCCTTTGCTGATTTGTCGCCGCCCCCCTCAGAGACTTCGTCACTTGAGTGTCCTCGCGCTCGCTCTCTGTTGAGCTGACACCGTCGGGACTTTGTCGATTGCCCACACCACGTGACTGCGATGCTGGTCGCTCCGGTGTGGAAGACTTCGACGACTTTGCTGGCGATTCACGTCGCTCTGGTTGTAACGTACTGGGCATAGCCAGATTCTGCATGCTCTGTGACTCCTCGCCGAGCTCAGGGGGCGACGACAGCGCGGCCAACGTCTGCTTGGACAGCATGTGATCGAGACTGCGTGACTTGCGATGCTGCTGGACGGCGGGCGGCGCCAGTATCTGGGTACTCTTCTCGCGACGCGCCACATAGCATGAGTCGTTGCTCGCCGTCAGCTCGTTGCCATCCTCGCTCGGCTGCAGAGTGCAGGTGGAGCTGGCATTGGTCAGAGCCGTGCTGCCCGCCGCCACCAGAGCCGCTGCTGCCGCTATGCGCTGATCAGTGGTATTCAGGCTATCCTGGCTGCCATTAGCCGCCTGATCGAGCAGCCCGTCCACGCTCTGCGAGCGATAGCCGCTCGCCACACTGGGATTGTGTGTGATGCCCGCCGCGGATCGCCTGCGCGGAGGCGGCGGTAAGTTGGCCAGTGGCGTCATGTTTTGCATGGATGTGGCCGCCGCCGGTGCCTTTTGCAGCAACGCTGGCTGCTGTGTGCGGTACGGCGGCAAAATGTTGGAACGCTTGCGGCCATAGGCGGACAACTGACTGCTGCTGCCGCCGTGGGCCCCGCCGAGAACGCGCTGACGCGCTGGTGATGGTGACTGCCGGTATCTATATGCCTGGTGATTAGCTGCTCGTGAATTTTCGAGTTTCGAGTTTGCAATCAGAATTAAATTTATTATTAATTAAGTTGGTTGTTGTTTAGAGTAGGTGTGTGGAGAGCGTAAAAAGTTAAGTGGGAGAGATAGATTGTGTATGTGTGTGGTATGTATGTTGGTGAGAGTTTGTTGGTCTGTGTGTTTGTGTGATGTGCGAGAAAAGAGAGTGTTGAGAGTTGTCTGAGAGATAGAGTGTTTGGGACCTACTACTCCGCCGTGAAAATTACTTATGGACATTGACTGAGTGGTTCGTTTTTGACTGATTAACTGAATGTACGACGGAGCAGTAGCCCTGGTTTTCGTGGGTTCTTTGCTTAACAAATATTCGAAGTACGGGTCACTAAATTAAGAGGGGAGTTGTTCTCTCTTTAGCTGTTGAGTGTTCATTATATAAAAATATATATTCATATTTATATATTTTGTGCCTAGTCAGCGCCGGAGCGCGACTGATTATTGGCTGACGCACTCGAGCAGCAGCTTGAGTTTGTATTTGTAGTTGTACTCGTTGGCCCACCTTGTCCGCTGCCATTTGCGGCTATTATGCAATCCACCACACTGCCCGCACCACCGCCGCCGCCGCCGCCACCACCCACACTTTGCTGATAGTCGGAGTCGTTGCTGTGCATTCTTTGGTATGACCCAGCACCAGGGGTGCCGGGCGCCATGGCTGCTATGCGATCGATATTCTTTTCACCGCGTAAAAATCTGTGGCCATCATATACGAGAGGAATTTAAATAGTAGTCACAGATTAGCGTATTGCTTTCCAATATTTTTGCGTTTCATTTCAGCCGCGCTGCTTTATATACCTTTCGAGCTTATCGATGCACGCGTCCTGGTAATCGTGTATCCAAGTGACACCATTAAAATGCGCCACACTTCGCATATCCTCCGGCAGACGCTCCGTTTCCGGCCAATTAAAATTCGTATCCATAATCGGTATTATGTTGCAATTTGAGTTGAGAGCAGCCACAATTTCCTGCAACAAAAGACATCAAATCATTACGGTTTCTAACCACTACTTCCATTTGTGGGCTACTCACGCGATGCACCCAGTCCTTGCACTCTCCATCGTCAATGCAGCGATGCAAGGCTTGGGGTGTTAATACAAGCACAAAGTTTTTGGCCTGACGAATACTGTTCAAAAGTCCATTATCGAATTTGCCAGCTTCCAAACGTTCCACATCAATGAACACGGAGAAGCCGCGCAGCTGCAAATGCACCTGAAAACCAAAGGAAAAGTTGTTCCAGTCAGCACAACATTTAGCCATACTTGTAAGTCTCTGATAAATAAAAAGAACGTATCAGCTGGATTTTGCGACTTCCTGCTTTCCCATTACGTGAATCGAAGAAACAATCAGACTAGGGAAAACGTATACTTGCCTAGGCATTCAAAAAAAATGCTCAAAAGTAGAAAGTTTGAAAAAATCATCATCCAAAATAGGAAATATATGCATCTTCTTCTTTAATAGCCGTATAGAAGAGCACGAACCATTAATTGAGAATTATCTCATAGATTCAACAAATCTATTGAAACAGTGAGTAGGGGGACTGGACTGTGATTCACCTTGGACTATTCCATAATCCCCTTCTACACCCATAGGCTTAGATGATTTTGGAAATATCCCTGGGCTTATTTTTGGATAATACCTATAGGCTTGAAAGGAAATTGACTCCTAAGAGTCGTTTTCTGGTCCTTAGTAAGGCCGAACTGTTCCCTCATCCTCCTCATATATACAGCTACAACAAAAGTCGGATCGTTTTTTGCTACGGAAATGGCACGTTAGACGTTTGAATAGGGAGATATCTAAACACATTCCTAAAATTTCGTCCTATTCACTTACATTTGGGAATATCTCCACTTCTTTTATAAGGTTAAGGTAAAGGATAACAACTGATTGAAGGTAAATGGCTCATTGAAAATTATTCTATCCTGTACAGGGGACTCACCTTAAGTAAACTGGCCAACTGGGAGCCATTCGAACGTCGATAGCTCACAAACACATCCAGTGTCTTAGCCATGTTCTCCTCAGAGGAGCTGGGCAATGAGTTCTCCAGATTCTTCACCGCGTTTAATATGCGTAGCCGGTGAATGGAGTTCTTAATGCCGCAATCGCTTAACAGCATATCCTCATTGATGTGAGGCAGGGCGCATTTGTCGATGCCAGCGTTGAGCATGGCGTACGTATAGGTGCAGTAATCGGGGCCGATTTCAGCCAGAAACTGATGCATCTTAGCCGTATCCTTGGACGAGTAGTCGGCCATGCGCTTGAGACTTTGAAGCTCACGCTCGAAGCGCTTAAGGAGAATTCCATTCGTGATGCCAATGTCGTCTCGCAGGTTTTCTCGGGTTAGCTTGAGCAACAGATCGCCATCTACTTGGGACTCCTTGAACTGCAGCAAAAATTTGAGGAAGCCTATTTGTTTGACCCACTCCTGCACATCCTCGATAGACCAGAGTGGTACCTGCTGGGATAGTTTATGTGGCACCGTCTCGCCTATGAGACGTAGCGCCTGCGCCGCAAACTTCGAGGCAATCGCATTTGGACAACTGGCCACGGTCTTTAAAGCCTCAATGGCTCCAATTTCTCGAAAGATTTCAGTGTTTCCCTGCTCCCGTTTGATGCCGGCCTCCATACAGAAATGGAAGGCGGCCAAGTTGCGGGCCTCTTCACGATTGGAGCTCAGCACTGGCACCAGACGCTGAAGCCAGTGCTTGCTCTGGCCGTGCGCATGCGCCAGATTGGAGCGCGCAAACTCGTAGGGATCGTGGGAGGTGACGAAGGGCTCGACGAGATCCAGGCAACCCGACTTCAGCACCTCAGCCTCTATTTCTTTGTTAGCCACGAGCACGGCAATGGCCAGGCAGGCATAGTACTTGATATTGTCATCGTTATGAAAGGCCAAGGGGAACAGCCACATGGGTACCTTTCGCAATATCATCTCCTCCTGGTTTTCGGCGCCACCATATAGCGACAAATTTGCCAGAGCGCTGGCGCAATGACGCAACGTTTCCACATCGTTGGTGCGGCACTCAAAGAGAACCGCATCCAGACCGCCCAGCTTAATGACATCGGAACAGGTGCCCTCGGAATGCTTGAACAGATGCTCCAGAATACCGGTGCCGACACGCGAATGATCCGATTTGGATTTCTTGGTACAGTAGCAGGCCACATTGACCACCTTGTCCAGACCATTGTCTACCACATGTGTGCGATTCTCTGTAGTCAGGCACTGCTCCAGCAGCTTCGCCGAGGAGAACTGCAGCTGCAGATCATTGTGGACACAGTTCTTCATGAGCAGATCGAGACCGCCGCTCTGACGCAATTTATTGCAGAGGGAGTAGCCCAACTCGTGTCCATGCGTAGGCACTTCCCAGGCGCAGCGAATCACATCGATGATCTTCTCCAGGCATTGCGTCTTTTCCTCGCCAGTGCCGTCGTTGTTGGCGCTGGTAATGCGGCCGGGACCACTGCCATTGCTTTCATCATCCTGTAGCTTCCTCACATAGGAGTTCAGCACATTCGAATACTTTTTGATGGCTTGATCGATTTCAAGCGCTCCACTGTTGGCAGTGAGCGATTGCAGGTCGTCCAGCTGGAGATCTGATAGCTTTATGACCTGACCGTTCGTGGCAGACATTTGCGAGGAGGACGAGATCATGCTGCTGCCCGAACTGGAGACACCTTTGTGCGTCATGGAGTAGTTGGCCTGTGTCGCCGTTGACATGTGCTTCTCCTGGCTTATGATGCCGTTCGAGGTCATGGTCTGCGATTGCGCAGACTGCGAGATGGCCTTCTTGTCTGCGGAAAAGGTGTCGCTCTGCACCTTAATACTGGCGGCGGCTACATTATTGCTGGTCTGCTGTGTGATGTCTCCGGTGCGTAGTGACAGCTTTTCCTGGAAACCGGCAAACAAGAAATATATAACAGTTAAGTTCAAGATTATTATTTCGGGAAATATGACTAGGAAAAGTTACATAACATGCTACTGTTTCTCATACTATTGTTTCTTGACAGTGACAAAAATCTGCAATACACGTGTAAATGAAACGGTTATGATCATGGGTATTTGTAAAACTTAGAAGGCATTTTGGGCTTTTCAATAAATAACGTATAACAATTGAAAATACTATGTTAAACTGTTATACAAACTGTTATACAAACTTTTATACAGACAGTAATATCATTTTGTTTGTCACTTATAAACATGTTATGATCTGGGTTTGTAAACTGTTATACACCACTGTACCTAAATTATTGTATGACCATATATGAGGTGTTTTACACATATGTATGTACATATATACAACTGTTATATAAAACTGTTATACACCACTGTACCTAAATTATTGTATGACCATATATGAGCCATTTTACACACATGTATATACATACAACTGTTATATACCCGAATATACCTTGTTTTGTTCGACCTCAATGGGTATTTCGCGTACATTTTTATAGGGCAACAATGCGCGATTGTTGTCATTGTTGTTATTGCTGTGACTAGTGGTTGTGGCTGCTGTGTGGTTGCTGTTGTTGTTGTTTGGTGTTGGTGGTGGTGGTGGTGGTGGTGACTGTATTGGCGGCGGTGACAGAGTACTGTTGTTGGCGGGCTGTAAAGGTGGATTAGAACTTTTACGTACTCTTGTGTGTGAGCTCGAGGACGACGAAGACGACGAAGACGACGAAGAAGAGGAGGAGGAGGACGAGGCAGTGGCAGATGCAGATGCCGAAGAGGAACCACCGCTAGACATTCTGGCAGCGGACGTTGTGGACTTGTTTTGTGTTTGGGCAGCCGTTGTTGTTGCTGCCGATGTGGACGCAAATGGCGGACCGCCCACCACTTGTATGGGCTGGGGGGGCGGCGAGAGTGGCGAGTTGTGCGCAAAGCGACTAACGGGCGTGCCCACCGGCGGCGGCGACAGCGGCATCTCGACTATGGGACTGGGAGAGCGCGTGGGCACAAAATCCGACTGACCCGACGATCGGTAGATGCCCTTTCGTACGGGCCACGGCGCCTGATTGGACATCGTTGTTCCGTGCTGTTGTTGTTATTGTTTGCGGGATGCACAGGAGCCGCCGGGCGGCGCAAGTATTTCAATGTCGCGCGTGGCAGTAGCGACGAGGTTGACGACGTAGGCGGAAGATGCCTTCACTGCAGAATTCGTGTGAATGCTTCGACGTTTTTGTTTCGATGTGGACGACGAGAAATGAATGTTTTTCACTGCTCACTGTTATATACTGTTTATTTATTTTCCTTTAAATAAAAATAGCGCACAAATTGTCTACGCCGACGCTGCTCACAGTGTTTACATGTGCCTGTGGCTATATGCATATATATATAGTATGTATATATGTATGTGTGTGCGTGAGCGTGTACTGAGTGCGACACCAACCGACCAATTGAGCTTGAATTGTTTAACAATCTGTTATTTATTGCCCTTGTCTGTTTACAACTGCAACAATGACAATTAACGAGAGTTACAAAACTTAACGAAAATTGCGTGTGCCTGACTCTACACATAAAATGGCCTGTTCTGTGTTTTACGATTGCAATAAATCATAAGGAAAAACGCAAAGAATTTTGAAAACAAAAATGACAATAATTTACAAATAAAAGCTCACGTAGTGACGAATGCGGTAACTCATCTTGATCTCGCCTTGTTAATTAGAAGCGTTAAGTTTTAAAATGCACTTTTACTTTTAGTTCTCCGTTAAATTTTGTTCGTTAACATAACAAAGGTATTAAACTTTTTTAAGTCACCTTCTCTTTTATTGACACAGTTTTCAATGAACTCTTGTAAACGGAAGTTTCGTTAAGTGGTAGCAAGTAATGCGGCTTCACTTTTTCGTTGAATATTTTGTATGGACAGATTTGTATGTTTATAGGCGAAAGTTCCGTTAAGCAGTTATTGCTCCACTCAATTCAATTCAACTGAATTATTTCTCAGAGTACTTAAGTTTCGTTAAAATTGCAGTTTCGTTAAGTAGTAAAAAGCAATGAAGATTTACTTTTGTGTTGATCATTATAGTTTACTTATTTGTAGTTAACATTTTGGTAGTGTTTTCCCGCGTAAGTTTCGTTAAGTAGCAGCATATATGTATATCTCCAATCAATGTCAAGCTTCAATAATGATTTGTACTTGCACTTTTTTTGAATATTTTGGCTTACGCTTAATGCGTTAAGTATTGGTTTTTCTTTAGTTGCTTTTTGTACGCAAAAGTTTCGTTAAGTATCAAAAACTATTATAAGCGATATAAGGCTGTTTTCGGTAAATTAAAGGTCTGCCAACAACCTCTTTGGTTTGCATTTAAAACTATTGGTTGCTGAAATCATTTTCGTTCTTTGACGCCGGTTTCGTTAAGTAGTAGCAATCACTGTTCCAATCGATTTCACCACTTGTTTTGCTCAAATTTTGAATTTTCAAAACTTGTTGCTTTCGTTTGACACATCGTGTTATGTATTTTTAGTGACATGCGCACGCCGTTATCGCTCAGAAGGTCAGATTCTTTATATAGTATGGCTTTTTGGGTACTTTCGCACATTCACACTTGTCTGCGATGCCTTTTGACGCCCCTTCTCGTCTACACAGCCGTTCACTTGTTGTATTTTAATTAGGAAGCCGATGCCATTGTCTATGAGAGTATTATTTGATTTCTATATAAACATACGAGTACATATAAAGCGCAAATAGACAATTCATTCAATGTCTCTATATCTCGCTATATGTATCAACAAATATTTCATTTATAATACATATGTGGATTTGGTGTGTATTTTTTATTTTTTTCACTTTAGCGTAACGCTCGCGCCGCTCGCTTGTCTGATACTGAGGGGCCAGAACGCTGCTCAGCGGCATTTTATTTAAAAGCAAAATGTTCGGAAATAAAACAAACTTTGCCTGAGGTTTGCTTGTGGCCCGAGTAAAAATTTCGGCATACATTTTCAGAGCGTGAAATAATGGAAAATAAATCAAATCAAAGCTGCCTGCAGTGCTTGGCCGATCCGAAGGCATTCAATTTCTTCTTCTTGGAACTGTTTGCAGTTTGTTGGAAATGCGTGCCAATTCTTCTTCATTATTGGTGGTGGATTTTATAGTGTTGTTGATGACGCACATGTCCTAAGACTTTTATATACCAATACATATACATATTTGTATAATATATTTCAGCTTACCAATAAACTAAAGACAAACACGCTATAAATTTATCGAAACCCATACGAATATATTCCTTCCATTAATGCTCAGACTTGACTCTAAATAATGCTGCATAGAACGCGTCTTCTTTTGGCCAATTGCCAGCTCCTCACAATTATGTACAACCTGGTTAGGGCAGCATATTCACAGTTGGATGTGTTAGGGGAAGTGCATTTAGCACAACATGACATTCATTTGTCGGGCGAGGAATGCCTGCAAATTGCATTCGATCTTTAATGTCAATAAAATGCGTATATTTCATCAACTGTTTATTAGGCCACATTTATTTATCTATGCTAATTTGCGACTAGCGGCAGACTTCTATCGATTCCATATTTTTCTATTGACAGGTTACCTTGACAACGATTAGATAAACCCCTTGGCCAATACACTTGTTGTTAAGGTAACCGCACCAAACAGTGGTAGGACTGAAAAGCTTAATCATTTAATTTATATAAGTTTTTAAAAACCATTCTGTTTTTTTATTATTGTATTATTATTCTATTCACTTTTTTATAAGTTCATATACATATGTACATATGTATGAAGAATCGATTGTTGAACATCATTTTCAATTTGTTTGACTGTATGAATGCTCAGATCTCAAATTCGAGCATGATTAATGAACCAAAAATTGATATGAGCACTGTTTGAACAAAAGTGCATCATTTAGACTCACTTCAAAAACTTCTTTGTAGTGCATTTAATAGCTACAATGAGTAAATGTAATTGAAGTTTTCTTAACAAAAAAGAGGTTAACATTCCTAAGATTTCATGGTCTAATCAAATTTATATAGATCCAGAACTACGATTTTTCAACATTAAACGTAAATGGTTATACCGTACGAACGCTGAGATATAAGTTTATTTTTGATAATAAATAGAAATACTGTATATGTTTATAGCAACATAAATTGTAAAAGTTGAAATCAGCAATGCATGTTTTATACATTTTTTAAATCATGTTTTTTTATTAGAGGTATAATAATAATCTGGACTTATCTGCATACAGATTTTCAAATATATTTCCATATTTCTTTTTAAGTTTCCCTTTTCATAAATGAGACTACTATGGGAAACCTTTAGAATCTATAAAAGTTTAGAGACTAGTGCATTGATAAAACTAAGCTATGACATAATCTCTTTATTTTGTTTTCACTATTCGCGAATTAATTTATTTGTATACCTGAAATTTCCTGAACATGGAATATTTGCTATCGTCTCCTTTGGCAAAGCGACGCGCCTGATGTCTTGCAAAATTGGGGCTCCTGAAGAGCAGGCACTTGTTTAGGAACATTTCACATACTTGGCCAGCCAGCAGCCGCCACAAACTGTTGCCTACTTTTTTGGCACTGCTCCGTTCTTAAACGGGCATTCATCGATTTTTGGTGGCGCCAAGCTATATATAGTATGTAGGTTTGTGTATATATTTCAACTTTGCCACACATTTGACATTCACATCACTTCCAACACTCTGGAGACGCGGCGCTTATGCGCTCCAAACATGCAGCCAACACACCCGACAAACTTCAACTGAAAGGAGTGCCCGTTTGGCTAGCTAGGGGTATGCCGCCCCTCGCTGTCGGGGGTGCGTCAGCACGAGCTTTTGCTTTTACTCTTAAAGCTTTTGTTATTGGCAAATCAGAATAATGATACGATGTACATGACCCCGCCTAAGGTTCACTGACTACAGCATGTTATTAACACTTTCCTTGTTTTTTTGTTTCGTTTTTTTCAGTTTATGTTTTTTCTGGACTCACTCACCTGTATGACGGCGGCATTCTCCTCGGACTTGATTCCGTCGATTTCCAAACGATTTCGCATCGCTGAAGCAGCCTTATCCTCTTTATAATCAATGTCGCCCGCCTGCAAACGCTTCGAGGCCGCCGAATTGCTGGTGGCCTGCTCGGAGCTGAAGCCATCGGCTACCACTTTTGTTTTCGTTTTGGTTTTTGTGGTCTTCTCCTCAAACTTGATGGTATCGATGGTTTTATTCGAGCCACTTAGCGCATTGCTGGCGCTCAGCTGGGATGCGGGATGAGTAAGATCCATGCCACTGCCGAAATGTGTGTGGGGATCGTCATCGGGAAATGTGACAATGGCCCTCGTTTTATCGTCGTTAACATCGACCAGATTATCAAATGAGGCGCGCATTCTAAACGGAAAGAGGGAATTCAATGAGAGGGAATTCAATTAAATGTCTCAGATTGTTCCATCCAATTACTCACTTATTCTTCAGCTGCCCTTTGAGATCCTCGAATGATGTGTGTCCTGTTAGCGTGTGTGTGGCTGAGGGCGTCAGTCTGGCTGCTGTGTTCGCCATTGTGGGGACCGTCGTAATGCTCGTCGTTGGCGCTAAGGTATTCGCTACTATACTGCCTCCACTTGCTAGGTCGTTGATTTCCGACATAGACTTCTTAATGTTGTTGAGATCGCGCTTTACAACGTCCACTTTCATTTCCGAAGATGATGTGGACGATGAGCTGGACGACGACGATGCCTGTGTTGCCGACGATGATGATGACGAGGAGGATGAGGAGGTTATGTGATGCAGACGCTGTGATTTCTTCTCGACACGCGTCGTTGTACTGCTGCTGCTGTTGACAAGCTAAAAAAAAAAAACACACCACATTAATATTAATAACCAAAATATGCGAGAGTGCGCTAATTCTGGCGCCTGATTTATCTAGAAGGAATGCGAATGTAAAACATTGCGGCATACAGTTGAAATAAATTCTAATTGCAGACCAGGCCACAAAACTTAAGTAAATATAATAATGATTTTTAATTTTCTCCATTTTTTTTCAGTGCTCTAGTATTTTGAGTGTCGACATTTCGCTATCGCAGCACGCACATTTATGGCAGGCGCTTAACTCTGCCTTTATAAATCAAGACAACAAAATGTTGTTATTTCTTTGCATTTGCCTTGAAGTTATTTATTCTGTTTGCTTACTGATAGATTGGTTTTAAGATTTAAGTTTGATAAATAAGGCAAATAAATGTCTACGGCACGCACTATATCTGAATCATCTGAATACATCGCCTGAAAAGTGATCTTTTTAGTTCCCTTAAAACCCACCACATGCTGACCTCGCAACTTTTTACAAATATGGCCTTGGAAAAGGAATTAATTTTAGTTGTAGGAGAACACAGCAAGAAAGAATGTTGTGGCGCCCATTTTTACAAAATAGTTTGCTTATACTTATATAAGTAACTTTATTCTCTTTCAAGATTTCCATGGCAAAAATGTCGTTTTAGGGGAATACAAGTAAGTATGTAAAGAATCGATCAATAAATCGTAGAATTCATTTTCTCGGTATTCATTTTGTCGTTAAAATCGCTTACGCCTATTACTATACAGACATGTGTACGGGCAATGAATCTGGTAACGAACTAATTCACTGATTTATTTAAATTGTTTTAAGTATAGTTAGGTTTTCCAGCGTTACTTTAAAAACATGAAAAAGCGACAAAAGTCCCATAACATACATTTATAAGACAGTCTTATTTATCATATTTATTATGATTTTGTAAATTTATCCAAATAATTTTTTACTATTTATTTAGTTTATTTCTATTAAATATCTTCTGTAGAATGGTGTATTTTATTTTGTAATGATTTAATTTAATTATTTAGTTATTTCATCTTCCATATTTATTTTATTGATTTTTTAAAAACTCATTTAATTTTTGTTGTTACTTTATTTTAGTTATAATAAAATAGAGTAGATATATTTTATATATACATATACAAGCTCAGGCTTATTCTTCATCTAATAGTGCATTTTAAAAAAGCTATTTTGAAGTAGCATTCCAAATTAGGGGCACAATTGGTTGCCAAAAATGTTCACAATGATTTCGCAATTCTCGAGAAATTTTCTAAAACTGAGAGCGAACTACGCCGAAAACCTTGAAGTGCTAATATCGTTTCAGTTAAAGTGAAATATTAGTAATTGAATAACGTCAAATTTTTAACACAAAATTTCAAAATTAAATAATATTGGATGTGGCAGAAAATCGAAGAAATTCTCACGTCCACCAGTTATAGGTCCGCCTTATACGAGCATTTATTGCGGGCCATTAAGAGAGAGATAACGAGCCAAACAATTTAATTTCTGTATTTTTCTTGAAATTTGCAACAACAAACACACGCTTTTGACAAATGTGGTCACATTATGAATCAAATCTAAATTTGGCCCGATTTCTTGTTGTTCGCTTCTTCCCCTACTATAGTATTGCTCTCAACTCGCTGGCGTTGTGTGTGGGCGCACTTTTGTGTTTCTTAGATTAACAATAAGTTCAACAATAAAAACTTGTCCATTTTGGTTTAAGCTCTTCAATGCAATAATTATATACTCGTGTATATATAGATATGTGTGTGTATTAGCATATTGCGCATACGTCATGTCGTTGCTTAGGGGCATCAAAAACAGCAACAATAACAACCACAACACGAGTCAAAAAACCCGCACATACTCGACATTGTGCTGAGAACTTATCACTGTCTGTTTGGCTCAAAAATTCCAACTTCTCCAACTTGCGATCAATGTACTGACAAAATAATTATTTTTTCCGCTTCATTTGTGGTTTTAGTAAATATTATTGAATAGCAAGCGCGCCTGCTGATACTTGGACAACAAGTTCTAGATAAGATATCAATTTTTCAACACTGCGTCATTTTGCTTTTGAATTTATCAAGATTATGACAGGCGTGGTTATGTGACTGGAATAATACATTTTTCTTTATACTAACCTATAAGGGCTACGAAATGTTGTCCAGTCTGAGCAATTTGACTTTGTTGGGTTCAGCCCAGAAGTACATATACTATATACATAAATATTATGTATACGCCCCGTAGAATTATTGGAACTGCAGACTTATCAGCGCGCGCACTTCGATCAGCTTGAATTTAGATTTCTATATGTGCGACAATATGTATTTATGATTTATGTATTATTCTTGATGGATTCTTTATTATTTAGCGTTCTATTTTGCGAAATATTCAGATTTCTAGGTCGGACGACGCGCTTTTGGTTCACACGCTGTCTTCTCAGCAACTGAAAATTTCAAACGCCTTTTTCGACGATTTTTCGTTGTGGTTGAAAGAAAAAAGTTCGTTGATGTTGTTCTTGTTGTTGGATTTTGCTTTTTAATTCGCGACAGCAAAATACTGATAACAAAAAGTTCGTATAATTGTTCGTTAATTGCGGCTTGCGTTCGTTTATTTTATTTTATGTTTTTAGTTCGTTGAAATTAGAAAAAAATTTAATAATTTCCTCGTGGTAACATGTTATGTTAAAGACGTCAACGTCACACAAAAGTTAATCACTGCACGGCACGCCAGAGCTCGGCAGCAAAAATTACAAAATTTTAATAAGACTTTTTGCACTTTTCCTATGATTTTTATTGCTGCCCGATTCTTTGCTGTTCCGGCGACGATTTCTTTGCGCGACGTTCGCTCGTTCGTTCCGTAAACTAAAGTAAGTGAGCAAAAGTGTCTAGACCTGTAGAGAGGGTCCCACAACAGCAGCGCAGCGCAGCGCGGCGCAGAGCTTTTCGTCGCAGCTGCTGTCTCTCCAAGCAGCCGTCGATCGTCGTTGAGTGTGAGGGGAGCGACTATATAGTAGAATGTCTAACTAGAAGCTAACGCTGGCGTCGTCGTGAGCTCAGCGCTTTAAATTCTAGGAAATATATTCATGTAAATTATCCACGGCTACCCGTCTCTCCCTTCAACACACAAATATCTAATTTTTTTAAATGTTCTTCTAAATAACTAATGCCAATTTAAATATTGACTTGCCTGTCTTTTATTACATATTAATTATTATTAAGTTGGGTTTAAGGCTCTCATTTATAAATTGCTGTTTATTGAGTTGTGAATATGGCTGGAGATTGAATCTTGTTTTGTTTCAATTTGCATTATTTACTTCTGTGTTTAGCGCCCACTTTAAATTATTTATTGATTTTCTATTACGAATACGAAGGGAAGGGGAAGCGGCGTGGTGGCGGATCGCTTTGTTTGACTCGATTTTTTATTTTAGTGTTTGTATGAATAATTATTGCGCACTTTTTCTGCGTAGCGATTGCCACACATACACATAAAAAGCGGGTGCTAAAAAATTATGCATAATTTATTTACAGTTAAGTATAAATCGTTAATGTATTCTAAACCGCAACCGGTGTAAAGGCAAGCTGTCTACTGACAGAATAATAGCATGTAAGAGCGGGACCGCATATTTGGAAAAAAGCGATATTATAGCTACATACTTATACTATGTATGTTTATTAAAAATCAAGGCTATCTCACATATGAATAGCACAGACTGAGAACCCAATCAATTATACTAAAGGCAATTGTTCTTCCAGCAATCACAAATATTCACTGCAGTATACGTGAAAAGAAATTGTAAATAATTCAACGCAGCCGGAAGGTAAAGCAATAAAAAAAAAATCAATCTTTACGTTTTTAGTACCTTTAATTCTTCCATTTTTAATGAAAAAAAATCCTACAACTAGTCCCTGCAAGATGTAAACAAATTGTTTATTTATTTATAATATTCAGCTGTGGACACAAAAATCACACAAATCGTGGGAAGCGCTCGTCAAAAACACTCGGAGGTGGCCGAGACTAAGGTCTAGAATTAACAAATATCTTGTAGTGGAATAATAATTAATAGATTGAATACTGACGGGCGAGTGTACATACGTCTATTTTTCACAAATTGTGACAAACTGCGGGCGGGAGTACAAAATGTTATTTTGGTTTTTGAATATTAAGCCACAAATGATGCCATTTGGAACTGAACTTAAACTGTTCTTAAACCTTCTAAAATTAATGCCTGTATTACTTAATTGACAAGAACTGAAATAAACACCATCATCTGTTTATCTTATTTGTCTGTTTGAGGAGGAAAACATGTTTTTGATCAAAAGTAGCTGTATTTTATTATTCTTAATATGTATACATTCTTGATCTTTATCCTATTTCTCAATAGTTGTATAGCATTTCTTAGGAAACTTTAAACAGGTAAACAAATTATTTCTCTTCATTTCTTTCAAATTCTATTTCGACGTAAATGTCCTATTATTTTGTTTTATGTAACACGCTTTGCTTTGCCAATTAAAATACCTTGTCATCAGTTTTGAAAATTCAATTTATTTATCTCTGCTTTGCTCTGCTTTGACACACTGACTGACCATTACCTCAACCAAATATTCTGCGAAACCAAATCATAACAACTAAAATTAGGTGTTAAGTGTTTCTATAGAATCCGCTTGTCATTCGATTTGCAACGGTATCGCACAAAATAGGCGACTGAAATCAATTCGAAGAAGCCAACCGTATTGCTTATGAATGAAACTTGTATTGCGAACTCATAGTTTTATTTAGTCAACCCGACATGCCCTCAAACCTATTCACTTTTATTTGCGAGCTATATACTTGTAAATACATATATACAAGTATGTATGTATGTGCGTTTTGTTGAGATTGTACAAAAGCGTTTTAAGTAAATAGAAACGAATAAAGCTCGTGATCTCTAAATAGCTGCACTGATAAGCAACGACTCGCAACAGGCTCGAACTTTGCTGATAAATGCATAGTATTCCCAGAATATATGTATGTTATTCAAATCAAAGCACGCCCAACATTCGCCGGCGACTTGTTTGAAATTTTGCCGGGCATGCTGCGAGAATTACGACGTCGACACTTGCCGGTGAATGAGTCACCGGAACAAGTCCGGAGAAATGCGCGGCAAATGTAGCTGTCGTTTATGAAGGCCCCATTAGTTTTGTCTGTCTGTATGAACGCCTCGATCTCGGAAACTATATCATAAAGAGATCTCTTTTCGAATTCAATTTAAATTGTGTATAAAGTTATTTTACTGGCTTATAATTTTGTACTGTTCAAAGATCTCCTCTCCACACGATCGATAGATAGCAGTTTCAATTATGAAATGAAACCTTTAGCTATCAAGACAAGTTTATTTTATTAGAGATATTTAGTTATATATTTTTTTCGAATTATAAACCCACATTAAGATTTCTATATAGAATTGGATGCATTCATAAATTCCTTATTTATTTTATTTTTACTTTTTTCTGTTTTATTCATATTTATGTGCATTGCATAATTTTATCTAAGACTTATCGTCTTCTTCAAAAGACACTCCGAATAGCAACAGATTTATTATACTTATTTATTTTGCTTTTAAATTTAGTTTTTGATTATCTGCACATCTACATGAATGCTTAAACAGTCATGGAACTATCGAAGATATACATATCTACATGTGTTTAAAGCTTAGCATGTGCTTTTATCAGACATCCAGAAACGAACAAATAATACATAATATTTTGTTTTAAAAGTTCGTTGTTAAACATATTTCTGTATATCTCGGAGCTATCAATAATATTTCCATCTAGTTATATTTCCATGCAGTTAAGCGCATCTGTCTTTCTGTCTCATCATTTTCCATTTTTCAACTTTTTCAAGCTTGGGGGTCATTTGCTCTGCTCCGTAATTGTTCATTTTGTTCGTTAAATTGAACGCCCACCACTGCCGACATGTGTCATACGCATCATTACAGAACGTTTTATTTTTAGTTTCGCAAACTTTCTGGGCTATAAAATATGGCTAGACACAACTTGCTGTGAATCGTACAACTGTCATAAATTTGGGGCTGTAATTAATTAAAACGCAAGTGACTTGAGCTACGTGGGCAGGTAAGCGCCTATATTCAAGCCAAGTGATTAACACATAATTATCAACAAATGGTAAAATATGACAACACGCTTTCTTGCGGCGCCTTCTTGTTTTATCTAGTTTTTGATGACCGGAAACCACTTAAGATAAAATTTGTTTACAATATTATAGACGCCATATTGGGTTTTCCTGAGCCATGCAAATTATTCAGGTGAATACCCGTGGCTATGCGCGATAGTCTTATCAGCCGTGCTAACCGATTGACGTACTTATGTGTGTAAGTTCTTGGGGCCAAAAACTTGCTAAATGGGTGTGTTGTGCTTACATTTTTCATGCGCCAATATAAAAAAAAAAAAAAAAAAATTTACCGAGAGGCACGTTTTTCGAAGAAAAATGTTTATAAATAAAATTTTAACATGGCAACAACAACAACACAATGAGCTGTGTCAATTATTTTTATGGCTTGTTCAATCAACACACAATAACACAGGCGCATACAAATTATTACACTACGCAACACAATTTTAAGAACACTTGCTTCCACTGCCTCTAAACAAAAGCAAAACACACCAGATTGTGGTTTATGGGTTATCCAAATTTTTGTAAATACTGTCATTACAACCGTGTAAAAAAGGACATTGATCATATGCAAAAATAGGTGATTGGTTCCTTATCTCTAAAGAAATATATATGAAATTTTTAATTTACAAACCGTGTTACATCAAAATCGTGTAAAAAAAAAGATGGTGTAAAAACAGAATTAGGTGTATATATCTTAAAGAGTCAGTAGTTCCTTAAGCAACATTATGTTTGATTAAAAGATCTATCTTTTTAATTTCAGGATGGTTTTTTGTTTTTTTTTACAATCCTCTCTTTTTTAATTAGCCTGAGCTTTATTGTTCGTCATGGCATTGGTTTTAAAGGAACCAAAAAAGCATTAGAAATTGTTAAAAATTAATAAGGTATTGAAATGAATTAAATATGAATGAATTATAAAAATTGTTGTCCTTAAACAACGCATTGTATTTCAAACCATTAAATACCGTGAAGGTATTAACAAATTCAATTTCATTGGTTTATAATTTTTGTTAATTTTATAATGGTTTTAAAATTCTTTCGCAATTGGATAATCAATTCAAAAACTTAGATCAAGGAAGTGTTAGATCTACTAAGACGTTTAATTAGGGGTAGAAAAAGTTGAATGGGACGTTAAAAAATTTGTAACTGTAGCCTAGTGTTGTTATGAAAAATATTTGCACAGCAGCCGCCGCGACGCCAGTACCTGATGTAGCTGATGTTGTAGTTGTTATTAGTGTTTTGGCATTCGTTTCTATTATTTCCATCGATTACAAGCATTTAATCTAATCAAGCATTTAATCTATCAGTTACATGCCCACCTGCACACATGCCCAGCTCTACACCATAATACTTATCTCGTCGTTTTGTTTATCAAAATTCTGGCGACTTGCAGGGTTTCTCGCGCCTTCAGCTTTAAGTAAGCCTCTAAAAATAGATACTTTCGGCACTCGAGCGCCTCAAGAGCAATCGAATAAAAAATTCCAGGACAGCTTGTCACACTGACCAACAAGCGAGCGGCTTATCTTTGAGTTGTTATGCTTTTTCTACGCTTCTATGTGCGTTTGTAAATTTAATGTGAAGTGTGTAATCGACACTAATTGTTGGCGTTGGACATAAATATTTCAGGCCATATAACAGGCAGAGATGATGGACAGTGCGTATACGCCGCGTGTCCGTGCTACCTCAGGGATGGTAGCATACTTTCAGGCTTACCTGCTGTGATGTGGATGTGGACTGATGTGAGGTTTCCTTAAGACTACTGCTCGTCTGATTGATCTGACGACCCAAACTGCTGCCCGTCGAGGCACTTTGCACTCCACTCGTGCCATTCAAGGCGGGCGATGTTGTGGAGTGGCTGCTCATCACCCCATTGACGCTGGAAGCCTGTGGCGAACCACTGTTCTTTTTATGGAAATTTTCAATGAGCGATGTGGCTGGACTCAGCACACCGCTTTGTGAACTATCCGAGAAGTCTGTCATCTGTAAAAGAACAAAAGTAGAGAACAAAATTAATACATAATCATACTTTTTAACCTAGGTAGATACGACTTTGAAACAGTTTTCCAATGAGAGACATTATATAAATGTCAAATTATATGCAGAAATGGGATTATTTAAGATGAGAATTTCAGTCTGTAAATTATTTGAATCAGTCTGATAGTAGTTTCATTTAAATAATATTTCAATACTCTATAGGCCCTAGTTATATTAGTCATATCGATAATAATAGTCGTCTGTTACGCGTCAGCTTCACTCTGCCCTATACTCGGACAACACTTAAATGAAACCAAATAGATTGAAATAAAAAAAATAATATTGAACCAACTAAAAGAGCTCTGAGTGGCACGTTCTTTCTGTCTCTCCTCAGCAGCTGAGAACTATATTTGTATATATATCATATGATGAGCGATTATTATGTTTTTCTCAAGAAAACAAAAGCAACTTTAATAAGGTGACGTCCCGAAAACTGGGTTTGGTCTTAAATTGCATATCAGTTGAGTATAATAATTGTAGTTTTGCAACGTCAAGTTCATTGAATTTCTATGAAATATAAAATTTATATAATCTTTGACAACTCCTTCTTGAATATCTGCAGTAGAGCATGAATATTTATATCTAAGAGGTTAGAGAAGAATTGAGAAACAAAAGACTGGGAAAATAAAGAAATACCTACAAAGATCCAATTTACGACTTTAAAGTTTACATTTTATGTTGGTCTTGGCTGCGTTTAAATACATTTTTATGTAAGGATAATATCCGAAAAAAACAACAAATAAGAAGATAACCACAGATGTCATAAAACAACTAATGTCAAATTTGTTTTCAATCTTCAATTATTCATTTAAATTAAATTTTTCATTATTAAACTTTTATAACTATTTTATGAAAACTAAAATTTTTATTTCGTTATAAAATTCCATTCTCCGTCGATGGGTTTCAAAGATCATTCTTTAAACGAAAGTATTATCTGCGCGTGCTGGCAAATATTTCTAGCTATGATTAGTTGAGTTAGTCAGATCGGATGGGCACTCAGATAATAGAGTAAGTGTGCAAAAAGACTCACAAAAAGTATAAGCTATGCTTATCAGTGTGAAATATTTCAATTTGTTTCATGAGCTGTAAAACACAAACACACTCGCGTAGATGTGATGCCGCTAGTTTGTGGTCGGCTGATTCATAGAAACAAAAGGGAAACAAATCGCAAGTCAAGCCGTTTTAAATACATATCACCATATATGGGCACATTTGTTCCCACTTCGCTGTCTATGGTTGGGGCTCCGTAAAATTAACTAACCGTGTGTTGACGCAAGCACAATGGCCGGCGATAAGCAAATGCATATGCAAACAATGCAATGTTAGGTTTAACTTCTGCATCCGTTATTTTTATTGAGTCGACTGCCGTATTGCCCATCCCCTGCCTCTACACCTATCTGTGTCTCCTCCCATTATACCCATCCCCATCCGAACAGTAAAGAAGTAAGCGTGTGTGATTGTGTGAATAATTACGCGCTGCCATTGTAAAAACAAACATTTAAATTACATTTAATGTCACTTGAAATGGGCAGAGCAAATGTTTAAATTCTATAAAACGTATCTCATGTGGGCTTTGACGTGATTTGCATTTTGGCGACACCTTCAAAAGCTGCTTAATTAAACGGCAGCACTCAAAATAAATAATGAGCACACAAATACATGCATTAATGTTGTCACTTGACAATATTTGTAAACACAACAATTACAAGCAAACCCATAATTAAATTGAAATTCCTTGAAGGCAACAACTCTGCTATCTCTCTGGCTTCTCAAACTGCGGCGGTGGCTCTCAAACTGTACACATGCCGTCGGGCGTAAGCGTAACCAAAATTTTATTTCGGTTCCAATGCAACGCGATTTAGATAAGAAGCGGCACATGTTCAGTAGCCCCAAAAACCATTATATCAACGCAAATCAATATGTTTGTATGAAGGCGATTTCCAAAAAAAAAAATTATTTAGTTTCACTTCTACGGGCTCGACGCCTCAATATTGGGATATGATTTATGTCCGCAGCCAGAGCGTTGTTAATTAATTTTGTATTTCCAATTTGGCTTTGTTTTTATGCACAGTGCCTACGATTGCCTAATGGCAAAATTTGCATAGTTGTGTAGAACAAAAGCGTGTTGATTTATCTGTAAAACAAACTAATTATGGTAATTCAAAGACTCGAATGTTCTACACCCTTGCGGTAAGGTTTCAGAATCATATATACTTCCAAATATCAAACTATTCTTCCTATGGCAGCGATATATTGATCATATGGCTTCATATTGTAAAGTTCTATCAAATAGATATTCAATCTCAAAAGAACATCTCAATAAAAGGGAAATAGTAGCCTTACCCAAATATGCACACATAGGCAGGTATTTGTATTAATGGTGAATTTTTTTTTTTTTTTTTTTTTTTTTTTTTTTTTTTTTGAATTTGCTGACAACTGACTTAATTTTTTGTCTATATTCCTACATCCTAAACAAGCTTTAATATAGTTAATTTAAATTTTGTAGAGTGTAAGTATAAATAGAATATAATCCATTATTTCACAATTGTTATTTTTTCATATGTAGTTTATATTTTAAAGGGAAATATCTTTAAATGAATTTCTTTCTGAAATGTTTCTAAAATATTTCAAACATATAAATATATAAGTAGTAGATATACTGCTAATTAAATATCAAAGCATTTAAATATCGGTACTTATGCTTCTGTAATAACTTATTTAAATACAGTATTTTTATTTTATGGTGCTGAGAACATCGATAGTTTTCCTCAAAATTTAAAGCGATAATTTTTCACCGTCTCTAATTTGTTTGCGCTCAGGTCTATTTTCCCATAGTTATAAAATGAGGAAGCATGATTAATTTCTATCATAGAATATTTCAGTTTAATTAAACATTTAATTACAAGTATTATTATTTTTAGATAATAAATACATATACTAATGGGAGAGTTTCTTTATGGGCAACATTTGTAGGAATTATCGCAAATATTGATACTATCGATATCGTTATGAAGTACAAACATAGGTATTTATAAATTAGCAATAGATTACAACATATTTGATAATTAAAAATTATCACCAACCCAATAGCCTAATCAATATCGGATTTCCAATGCAAACTTCTGATGACGACAAACATCAACACAAAGTGGAACAGCTCTCTTGAAGGGTATATAATTTATAAGCAAGAGGCGTAAACATAAACACGATTAGTTGCCGCACGTTTTGCATTTTCTAGACTTCGCGTTTGCTTTTTGTTGACGGATTTTGTTGCAATTAATTTTAGTTCGCCGCTGATTGATAAATGGCTGAGTGTGGGTTAAGTCTAGTCGCTCATTGTTGCTACCTTGCTGTGACGAGAACTCGTTTCCCAGCTTGGGCTTGCGATTTATAATTATTATTATTAATGGGAATGTGTGGGCGATTTAAAATCACATCGATATTTACAATTTCATAAGTGAATGTAACGGCGCCCACACTGCACACTCTCTTGCGCTGTTGGCCACACTTTGTTAACGGCACACAGTTTATTAACACACATTTTATTAGACACGCCAAAGAAGAGACCAACTGTTGTTATTGTTGTTGTTGTAGTGGCTGGAACGCAGCTGTTAAAGAAGTTGGAGAAATAAAAGCTTAAGCTTGTGCTTTTTTGTGCTCACATTACAAGCTTTATGCCGCGGTGGTAACTAAAATTGTACACCGCTTACCAACACTGACTCAGCCACTGCCAACAGCTGACGTATTTTTTCCGTGGTTGTTTTGTCGAGCACTGCTGGTGAAAAAAAAAGAACGAACGGACAAACGAACGTATGTAACTATGGCAGTAAAATAAAAGTGCGCATTTAATTTATGCAAATTAAATAAGTAATTAGTGCAGAAAATCAAGTCAATTGTGATCGGTTAATAGAATAAAACAAATTCCAAAATGTGCAACTATCGAGCGGTCATGTTCTGGCTCTGGCTGTCGCTCTGCCTCTGCCTATATATGGCGTCAGCAGTGAGAGCAGGCGACGTCATGGCTGGTGTAACAACGCAAAATGTTTTGCTCGAGGCCGCCGCCGAGAACGGTAAAAAGGCGACGAGTAGCGGTGAAATATGTGGACGCATGTTGCGACATGTCTTCGAGAACGCGACCCCACGTGACGAGCTGGAGGCGGGCATCTTTGAAGAGTACAAACCGGATGCACAACACGCCAATGTGCTCCTCGATGAGGAATCTTATCTGTGGAGCTGCCTGGATGCCTGCTGTGAGAAATCACAGAACCAGACGGGCACAGGCAACACGGCCTGCAATGTCGTAATGCTCTACAAACGTAAATGTTTCCACATACGCTGCGTCAGCAACGAAGGCTGTCTGCCCAAGGAGCGGGGAGCGCGCAACGGTGCGGACAAAGCGCAAATGGTGCTTGTCAATCCCATAGGTGAGGGCAAGAGCTGGACTCAGCTGTTGAAACAAGCAAAAGCCAATGCCGAAATACTGCCCTATGACGAGTTGGCGGCGCAGAGCGCCCTTAACTTCTGGAAACAGCCGCGACGCATGCAATACCTGGCCCGCCAGCAGGTGAGTTCCCTAAACTCTAGCAGCCACTCACAACTAATACGAACCCTAACTCAACCACAGGACAGTCAGGCATACGATGAGGATGATTTTCCCATAGCGGAGAAGCGCATGAAGCAGCTGTTGTTGCCGCCCGAGGAGAACGAAGACGAACTGTCATATTATGGCAGCTCAGATGCCGCCAACTTGCTGGCCTGCGACATTGAGAATCCGTGCCCGTTGGAGGAGAAGTGCGTGCCACTGCAAGCGAATGCGCTGACTGGGATTTGCAGTTGCCTGCACGGCTATGTGCGCAACAAGCTGAGAAAGTGTGTGCTACAGCCTATGCCCTACACCGCCTATTTGGGTAGCAATGAGGCAACTCCCCAGGAGCGTAGCGAGGGTGCAAGTAGCGAAAATGTGCCACAAATATCGCCTGCTCAGGAGAACAGCAAATCAACAGCAACCGCGAGCAGCAAGGATATTGTTGTCTCGGTCATGTCCAAGGAGGTGCGACTGCCCGAGCAGGAAGTGACCTTAGCTGCCTTCACTGTGCCCGACGAGCAGACGAGTGGCACGAAATATAAATATTTATGGACGCTAATCACGCAACCCAAGGGTCCAATGAATGGCACCATCTCGGATCAGAGCAAGCCGAAAGTGAAGCTCTCGAACCTCTCCGAAGGTCTCTACACCTTTAAAGTCACCGTAACCGGAGACAATGGCACGTTCGGTGAGACGGATGCCAATGTTACGGTGCTGCCGGAGAAGCGCATCAATCAGGCGCCACAGGTGGTCATCTCACCCAAGGAACAGATTATACGACAGCCCACAACCAATGCCGTGCTCGATGGCAGTCCCAGCACAGACGATGACAAGATTATCAACTGGCATTGGGAGGTCATATCGGGTCCGATTGGCTATCAACCCCAACTGCCGGACGTCAATACGCTGCAGCTCACCGATCTGACCTCGCCGGGCAACTACACCTTCAAGCTGACCGTTACGGACTCGAATAATATCACCAACTCCACCACAGCTATGATTGCGGTGCTCAAGGAGACGGACTATGCTCCGGTGGCCAATGCCGGCGATCCTGTAATACTCTATCTACCCAATAACAATGTCACTCTGAATGGCACTGCCAGCTCGGACGATCACGAGATTGTCGCCTGGGAATGGACCAAGGATGCAAGCGATGAAGCCAAGGCTGTAGATATGCAGAATACACGCACACCCTACGTACAGCTATCGAATCTGGAGGAGGGCATGTACACATTCGTGCTGAAGGTCACGGACGGCAGTGGACAGTCGAGTACGGCTAAGGTGCACGTGTTTGTAAAACCACCCACCAATTCTCCGCCTGCCGCCTCAGCAGGCGCCAATTCGGTAAGTTGAGAACTAAATAACTTTGGAAGCATTCTAATTATCTGACCCCTGTAGACGACGAATTTGCCCATCAATTGGGCGCTCCTAAATGGTTCGGAATCTAAAGACGACATTGGCATTAAGAGCTATCAATGGAAGCAGCTAAGTGGACCCAACAATGCGGTCATTTTGAAGTCAAATAGTTCGGTAAGTTAAAGGCAATGCATAACTAAGTAGCTATTTCTAAAGGACAAATCTACAATCCATAGCTAGCCAATGCCACCTCGTTGACCCTCGGTCTCTACCAATTCGAACTAACTGTCTCTGATGAAAACAACAACTCGGCCAGTGACACTACTTGGGTTAAAGTCGTGCAGGGTAGGTGGAGTTTAGGGTTCAGTTAGTTCAACTCTGATGTTTTCCTTGTTACTTAGAACGCAATGCGGCGCCTGTGGCTAATGCTGGTGGCGATCATAGCATTACCTTGCCTGCCTCTGCTATCTATCTGAATGGTTCACAGTCCTGGGATGATCTGGCAGTCGTGAAATATGTGTGGACGCGTGAGGATAACAGTCTGGCCGCTGGTGTTATAGTTGGAGATACGGATAAGCAGCCCGTCATGATTGTAAGTTGTCTTTATTCCTTTCTCTTAAAGGGGTTACCCAACTATTACATTTTATTTCCGATAGCTGACCAATCTCGCGCATGGACGTTATGTCTTTAAGTTGACGGTGAGCGATGAGCAGGGTTTGACGAGCTCGGACACTGTCAGCATTAATGTCCATCCCGATCCCATGCTCATGCATTTGGTGCAAATGACTCTACCCATGGGCATTACTATTCTATCACAGAGCGAGCTGGACTCGATTGTACAGAAGCTACAACTACTGCTGGGCGATGACAACAAAATCCAAATACGAGAACTCAAGTATGATCTACATACGGAGGCGGCGGTTCTGGTATTCTATGTAATGGCCAGCGATGCCAAAGGTGGGGGTCAGGCCAAGCCTGTGGATGGCCTATATGTTGAGCGTTTGTTGCGCTCGAAATTGCAACGCGATGCCTCCATACTGGGTGCTCTATTTGTGGACATCCGCTCCACGGTTTGCCAGAATAAGTGCTCCAATCATGGCTCCTGTAATCCCACAACTCGCGCCTGCATATGCGAAGCTTTCTGGATGCCTTCAGCAGATTACTTTTTCGGCTCCAATGAGGCCAATTGCGGTAATACTTTGTTTTACACTTTAAAGCATTTAAACTGAGTTTCCTTTTTGTTCATAGACTGGTCCATACTCTATGTGTTTGTGGGCGTCATAACCGGCTGTCTGCTGCTCTCTGGCATATTTTGGGGCATCGCCTGCGCCTGTCGGCAGTCCAAGAAGCCGCGCATGCGCCAAAAGGTGCAAAAATATGCGCTCATAGGCACGCAGGATGAAGAGGCCGCTAATTGTAAGTAGAAACCCTTCAACTCATTCCTACTCTAATTACTCTTTTTATAGATTCACGCACCACCTCGCTAACCGAATCGGAAACGGACTCGGATGTTCTCTTCGAGACCCGCACCAAGCCCAATGGCCTTGGCAAGCACAAAGCCCACAATTCCCATGGCGGGGGAGCCGCTAATCAGCATAGCAACAACAAATACGCTGTCACAAAGTTGGGCCGCAAAATCAAAGCGTAGACGAGAGCTCTATAATATGTTAGTTCAAACATAGTGTGTGTGATAAATATTTGTATTTCTATATATACATATGTATACTTGTATATTTTATACTTGCCGCAAGTCGCTGTCGCGTCTCTAAGTTATATTTGATGTTCCTTCTCTTTTAATGCAATGTGTGTGTGTTAATTGTATTATTATTTATTCATTTAAGCTGCTGCCATGCAACAAACATTCCTTTAAATATAATTTTTTATATGTTTTTACGTGTATATAGCGATAGAAATCACAATCAATGTAATAAATTACATATAACTGCTTAAAAAGTCGCTTCATCAACTCTTGGCGAATGCAACGATAAATATCTGTTGCATTTATTTTAATTTGATGGCTGTATGCGTTAATAGGGGAGGAAAGATCTCAAAAAAAAAAAAATTTCAGTGAGAATGTTTTTGAGCAAATGTTCAAAGGCGTAGATTTCAGACATACATGCTAAACAAATGTTCACTATGTTCATGGGGCCTGGCATAGCTCAACGATCTAGCAGGGATCACTCAATGTGAGTTTGAGCTATGAATATAATAATTGTAGTCTTCAATTCTGTAAGTGGGCTCTCCTAAAATAAATGTAAAACTGCCACGTTATGGCTAAAGCTGCAGGCCTTTTTGCAACGCAATAAATAATAATGAAACAAAACTAAGTTCATCAACAATGAAGGTATTATCTAAATTGTTGGGGCCTGGCGGAATCCCATAATGTGAGTTCGTTCCTTGAGTGGGGACTCGGTTCGAATCACGCCGCAACCATCATGACAAGAGCATGATTAAATGATGTCAAAGTTATCTTAAAATTTAATAATTATCTAATCCAGGACAGATCTTAAATACAGAATAAAGATTTTACAAAAAAATCAAATCGAATCTCTGATTCAAGAATAGCTTGCGGGAAAATTCGTTCATTCAAATTCAAGCGTTCCACTATACCATTCAAATTATTTGAGATTTCCGTTTTTTTTTTTAATTGGTCACAATTAAAATGAATTCTTTTAACAAAATTTACATTTTTGTAATATTTCTTGAAATTGAATTCTATTAAATTTCAACTAAATTTCAATAATAAAAATACCTCATTTCGCTAAGTCATACTAAGCTGTAATCCTACTTTTTTAAGCATATTTCTAAAAGTATGTTTTAATTCATCTAGAAATTAAAGGGAAAGAAAATTACTCAAGAAATTCAAACGATTTCTGAATTATTTATTTAACAATGATTTTTAAATATATAAATAGAACTGTTTAAGGCAAATTTTCTTTAATTTCTATCGATTTTATTATCTGTTAGATATTTTGAAAACTCAAGAAAACTCAAACTCTTGAAAGTTGTCATTATTTTTATCCTTTTGGCATTTCATTTTGTACATCTTAGCTCTAATAGAACATGTCTAAATACGTGTAGAACTCTAGATGTTGCTTGTTACTGTCATTTGGCATCAGAATGTTGAAATAAATGCATAAATCAGCGCGCAGTTGTGTCTGTTCCCCCTCCCTGGTGGGGCCTTGCAGTTTTAGAGGCGCTGTGCGTTAAATTGCTTTTTATCAGACATTTATCTAAATACGTGAGCTTAGAAATGCATAAATATGGGCATTTCCGTAGCAGCTGTGAGGCGGGAAACTCCCAATACCCACACGAAATTTATAAATAATGCCGAGCACGTTGCAAACGCCACCGGCCATGCAATGCATTTTAAACAGTGCGTCCACAGTTGGACAGCCATTGACATTTTTACATGCAGCTCAAGACACGATGAGCTGATTTTATTCTTATGCCAACAGATGTATGTAGGTATGATGTGCTTTACTTGTATATACAAGTAAGTATATTTTTAATACAAATATTGAATGGCAAATATTTGGGTTTGCAAATCAGTTGAAGTGCTTTTCATCAAAAGCATGAAATTCGACTTGAATGCGAATACTCGTACTACGGTGTGGTGTTGAAATTAAGGCCCACGCGCAGACTGCCAGTTGACATTGGTTTGGCCAAAATTGGAACTCATTACCAAGTTCCTGGTAGCCAGATTTCGTTGGAACTCTCTGGAAATGTCTGTCGTCTTTAAAGCCGTTTTATGTGATTCACTTGACTTTGTTTGCTGTTCGTGTTTCGGTCGCGTCTGCAACCATTTTGGTCATTTGACCGTCTGAGTTCGGCATTAAGTTTTGGCTTCACGTTTTATTGATTTTAGCCGGATTTTTCTCAACGCTCAACGGCAGTGGCATGCCACGCGCGCGCTCCACACACTGCCTGGGCGCGGCCTTTGTAGATTTCTTTTTCTGTTTTTCCTTTTTTTTTTATTTTTATTTTTATGTGCCTTTACTGTCGCTTTTTCGCACGCGATTCCCTCATAGCATCGGCGACTTTTGGGCGCCGCCACAACAACACCAATAGCAATAATAATAACAAAGCATGTGTGTAAGTGCGCTTCTGGTAGTTAATTACGCAAAACTGTGTTTTGTGTTTGCATTGTCCGAATTTTTCATAAACATTTTCCATGCCAAACTAATAAAGAGGTGCTTGAACTCTCTCCACGTGACATGGCCAAAAAAAAGACTGCGTGAATATCGTATTAATGGACGACTACTTGCTAGTTCTTCAGTGTTCTTTGCCATATCTTTATGCACATTTAATTGTTTGTTTTGACTGCTCGACACACACACGCACACATATGTATACCCTGCGATGCCGCCAATCTGCTTCAGACGAGCTTAGTTCGATCAAAATTCTGTGCACCTTTTTTCAGACTCTACAGCATTGGCTTCCAAGAAATTTAAAATTTTAAAATTCTTCAAATATACTTATATGCCAGAATAAACATTTTTTCTGTAGACCAGTGTATACCCTCATAAGGCCTCTACATTATATTCTAAAGAGATTAAGTCATTATTTCATATAAAATCAGTTACAGAAATAGGTATATAGGAGCCTAAATTGTTTATAAAAAATTGCTTGATAATAACGTATTTGATCTGTTGGTTATTACCGTTCTATTGTACAATTCTTCCAATGTGCATCAGCGTTTTAATTCTACTTTTTTAAAGCCAAAAACATTGGAGACTTAAACACGAAACAATTTCATATTACTTTAATTTAAGCAGTTACTGATTAAAAGTTTTTAAATACTTTCAAATTTTCTTCCTTCTTAATAAAAACTCAAAGATAAGCAGTTTCTGTTTTAAAACATTTTAAAAACATTCGCTACTTAAGTTGTTTTTATTTTTTTTTTTTTTTTCATGAAAAAAATTATTCTAATTCCATTCTAATAAATATTTCAAATATGACGTTTAAAGTTCGTTAAAAAAAATAATGAAAAAACTATCAGAAGATACTTTAAACCAGAACCACAATTCTGAAAATTGTTCTTAGAGAAGAACTATGTCCTATTTAAGAACGACGAGTCGTTTTAATTTTTAATTAATCAAATATATCATTGTTGAAGTAATATAGGTGCAATAATTAGTTGAGCTGGGTTATATAATTTAGCCCATAAGTCCCTAAACTAAAACACCAAAAAATTTAAAGGTGTGATCAGACAGGCAAACAATTTCGATATAAAGTTATTTTCGTGTTATCCTAAAATATGAGTTTTTGTGTGGAGAACTAGAAGGTCAGTCAACTACTTATCTACACACAACTCTTACTATATTTCCATGGTCTCTGTAGTTGCAAATGACTGCCGTTAGTTGTAATACCCTTGTCAAGGGTATAAACAATTTTTAATAGCATTAGAACGTGGCTTAAAACGTCCGCCCGCTGTTGACTAATTGGCATGCCCAGCTCTGTTGACAGTTTACAGCTGTTGGTATTATTCATTTTGGAAGACCCGCGGGGCGCTGAGCTACCGGTATTTTAATTCTTTTTGTTATTGTTGTTTTTGTAGTCATTGCTTGGACAAATCAGCCAGCAAACTGAACTGTCGCTTTGAGTTATGAGCATTTGCATAAATTAAATGATGTCTTTATTATTGTCATTTTTTCTTTCATTTCATTTAAACAAAATGTTTAGCAGATTTGTCAAATTTTCGGAGAGCTGTAAATATTGTTGTTGTCAAGTAATTCAAATACAAACAACAAATTCATTTAATCACATGCCCAACACACAAATCCAATTCAAGGCTGCCTCGTTTTTCATTAAAAAGTTATAACTTTTTTTTTGTCAATTAACATTAAAAAACGTGTGCGACAAACAAACATACAAACAAAAGAGCTCAAACAAACAGAGAGATAATGCTGCTCAGACGAGCAGTAATATGATTTTCAAATATACTATGAGGGAGAGAGGTTGGTTCTAGAAATGTTACTCTGATGCTGGTGGAAACCAATACAAATAAAAATTAAATTTAAAGAAAACAATAACTCCAAAATTCTATTATCATTTTATTGCAAAAGTGCAGCTCTGCGTAAAGCCCCTTTCGAATATGACCGCTAAAATAGTGGATCCCAAGCCTATTAAGCAATATATATGTAGATACTGACTAAGTGTAGAATGTTACACATATAAGTACAATTATGTATGTACACATACTTATGTACATTAATGTTCGTATGTTTGTTGGAGACAACGGTTGAGTGATTTTCAATGTATTCGTGACAATAATTTGTGTGCTTGCAGATAAAATGCAAAATAAAACATTTTATTATTGTTTAACTTACTTTGTGTTGAAAGCCAGCCCACAATGAATGAATGCCGCAACTCTCTGTCCTCATGTTCCATTATGCTGAAGTGAGTCTAATTTTGTCAGTCTAGTCGTCTGTCTGTCTGCCTGTCCATCTGTTTGTTTGTCCGCTTGCCCATTTGTCCGCTTGTCTGCTGTTTATTTGTTTTGGGCGGCATTTCAAATGCAAATGCAAATGAAAAGCAAATATGAGATGCGTTCTAATGCCACTTACTTATGTGTGGGCAGACAAATACATTGCATAAATGGGAAACTTACAACAGTTGCAATGTTTTCAAATCATCTGCGTGGGCTTCCCAGTCCCACAGTCCCAGCAGTCGCTGTTGCATGAGAAACTGGAAACTGTGTTAAGTGTCGCATTTTGCAGTGCTCGATAAATTTAATTTGCACTCCAACTAGAATACGAGCTGTGAGAACAGAAGCATATGGCTTGGTCTTGAAAAGAAGGAAAATCCAGCAATTTGTTGACAGTCAAAACAGCTGAAGATGACCGACTTTGCAAATTTCAGTTTATATTCAAAATATGTTGCCATATTCTAACTTATTTAGCAAACACTGCAGAACACAATTAACTATGTCCATTTCCAAGACTTGTTTG